TCTTGCACGTTTCAAAAGCGGCTTCAGCTTCTTCTGTCCACTCGACTATTGTTTTGTCATTCTTCCGCGCGTTGTTCAGATATTGGTGAAGTGGTGTTTGGGTCTGGGCTGCGTGGGGAATGAAACGTCGGTAGAAGTTGATCATGCCAAGGAACCGTCGCAGATCTTGAACTGTCTTTGGTTTGGGGAATTCGCGGATTGCACTGACCGACGTCTCAAGTGGTTTGGTTCCACTCCCGGAAATCGTATGTCCTAAATATTTCACTTCGGCTTCACCAAACACGCACTTGGTCGGGTTAATCACTATGTGATGCTCCCGTAACCTAGAAAATAACATTTTTAGATGTTCGACGTGCTCTGCTTCATCTCGGGAGAACACTAAGATGTCGTCTATATACACGTAGCAGAAATCAAGGTCACTTATTAGAGAGTTCAGGTGTCTTTGGAAAGTCTGTGCGGCATTACGTAGTCCGAACGTCATAACTGTAAACTCGAAGAGCCCGAACGGAGTGCACACGGCTGTTTTAGGAACGTCTTCTTCAGCCACGGGAATTTGATGGTATGCGCGCACTAGGTCTATGGTGGAGAACACACTTTTACCTTCGAGTCTGTAGGTGAAGTCCTGTATATGAGGGATGGGGTAGCTGTCAGGCACTGTCACGTTGTTTAGGCGCCTATAGTCGCCACATGGACGCCATTCACCAGGGAGTTTCTTTGGGACAAGGTGAAGCGGACTAGCCCAAGGGCTCTTGGATGGTCGGCACCAGCCCTGTTCCATCATATATTGGAATTCGGCTTTCGCCACTCTCAACTTCTCGGGTGCAAGCCTGCGAGGAGCTTCTGCGACCGGGGGACCTCTGGTGATGATGTGGTGGAACACGTTGCCCCTGTGCTTCGTTCCAGGTGGCGGTGGGCGTGTAATTTCTGCGAAATCCGCTAGCAGTGCGTGATATGGCGTCGTCTTGGCCACTGTCGTGATCTGAGGCGACTTGCATATAGCCAGGGTTCCGCGAGTTGATAAGAGGGTGGCTGCGTCTACGAGGCGTCGGTTGCGGAGATCAGGTAGGAGGTTGTGATGCCTCAGGAAGTCTGCTCCGATGATGGGTTTGCCTACGTCTGCCACTATAAATACCCACTTGAACGGACGTTTCAGCTTGAGATCAAGGAACATTAGCTTTTGGCCGTATGTTCTGATCGCGCTGTCGTTGGCCGCGAAGAGCGTTGTCTCAGCTGGGCTGAGATGTTGTCTGCCTGAGAACAATCTCTTGGGTAACACGGAAACTTCTGCCCCCGTGTCGATTAAATATCGGGTACCTGATTTTGGGTCGGTGATGAAGAGGCGTTGTGTTTGCGCTGCGTCGTGGACCACCTCAATCGTCGACGGCGCCTCTAGTTTAACGGCCTTTTGTAGTCACAGGGTTTGGCGCATCTTCTGGCGTTTGCTCCGAACCGATTGTGATAATAGCAGATATTATCGTCCTGCGGATTCGACCTTGACCTAAATTTGGCGCGATTCCAGTTTTCGCCTTGCCCATGGCGCCTTCTGTCGTCTGCGAGTTGGTTTACTGTGGTCGATAAAGTTACGAACTGCTTCTGCAGTGCCGTAATGGCGGCAGCCATTCCATCTTCTTGCGCCGATGTAACGGTTTGAGAGGCGTGCGCGGAGGTACCGCGATTTAGGGCACCAATATTTGCTGTGATGGCGCTGGTATGGTGGATTTCGGTCAATTTGTCCGCTATGGTCGCCATTTTGTCCAGCGTTTCTTTATCATTTGCGGCGAGGATCATCTGTAGTTGTGGGGGTAAACGCTGCAACCACAGAGTCTTGAGGACGTCACCGCTGATCCCCTTACCCGCTAGGGCTTCCATTTCTCTTAGTAGTTGTGACGGCTGCTTGTCCTCTAACTCTATTTCGTACATGAGCTTCCGTAGTCGTTTTTCGGGGGTGTCTGCATAGGCGGCGATCAATCTGGATTTTATGCTTTCGTACTTTGTCTCTTCTGTTGGGGGGTTGGCGACCAAATCGGCAACCGGCTGGAGCGTCGCGCAGTCTAAGGCGGTTACCACGGTCCAGTACTTGGTCTGGTCGGACCTGATTCTCGCGCAATTAAATTGGGCTTCGACTTGTGCAAACCAAAGCACCGGGTCTCGCTGCCAGAATGTCGGTAGCTTCAGATTTGAACCACTTCTTACCTCATCAAGGGCTTGTTTGTTGGAGATGGTAGCCAGTTGTGTCTGGAACTGGCAAATTATTTCTTGTTGTTCCTGCAGTTTCTTTTGCATTTCTTCCATGGTGCTAGCTCTTCCTATTTTCTTTCCGGGGTCACCAATGTGGAAATGACTAACACCAGGTAGGGTTTCTCTATAGTTTATTTACAAACGGATATCTTACACGTGGAACAAGAGACGGTACCCATCTTCTTCGTTTCGATGTCGGCGGCAGAAGAGAGTACTTGCCGTACTCGCGCCTCCTTGTGTCCCCAGTTGGTCTCTGCGTCGGCGCCAGGCTAACCAATCACGAGTGGTGTTCGGTGAGCATATTGAGTTGCCTACTCGTAGGCGAGAGGAAGTAGTACGTGTGCGTTGTGTTGCCTACATTAACATCACAGCAACGCCACAAATATAAACGACAGAACAACGTTACGCAAAATAAAATTTTCAAAAATTAGGTATTAGAGAGAACTTCCTTCACCCCTGAAGTACAATTCAACAAATCCAGCTTCTTAGAAAAATTATAAAATTTAAATTTGTGAAGTTGATTTTTCATGAAGACCCCTATTGATTTAAAATAAAGATATGTAGATGTGTGGACTCTTCAAATCTAGGTTAAGAGACATACCATGCATTGTTTCAAGAGAGTTTTTCCATTACAAAATTTTGCGAGTAAGTCATCAACATTTTAGCAAGGACACATACATCAATTTACACCTAAGTGTAGTACTAATGATTAGAGTCTCAAATTTCCAGGAAAATGGGGTAAACCTCTTGACTTGATCAATTTAAATAATAAATAATAAATTAATTTTTTTTGAGTCGCCCTGCATAACCATTTCTAAATTAAACAAATGCTCTTGAGAATTTACAAACTTTCTATAATGAAATTAAAAAAAAAGAAGCTGGTCGTTTATAAAGTACGAGTTTGTCCACACTGCTAATACAAAATTAAAAAAAAATTGGATAACTAGGTTAAAAAGTAAGGGCAAGTTCATCAACCAATAAGTACAAAAATATGTTGTTTTTTGAAATTTAAATATTTATACAAAATTTTGAGGTCAACAAATTGTTGGTGGGGGTGATCAAACAAATTTTGGTTACTGTTTTACCATATACACGATATTTCTAGAATACATATCTATAGAATTTGATAACAATCATCCCGGATATTATCTGTCAAACAAAAACCGACAGACAGACGGAAACGGGAAATCTTTTTTTCGTGCTTTAGGGGTCATCAAGACTCGAGTAAAACAGTAAACAAATCCAGTTTCTTAGACAAATTATAAAATTTGTTTTCACGTTTTTTATTATAATTCCTATATATTAAGATAACAATATGGGTAGATTATTAAAATACAAATAAAATGTCGCGATATACAGTATGTTTTAGCTAAAATTATTTTAATAAATTTTGTCTTGACTCCGTTAACTTTTCAGTGATGAAAAATACACAAGTTTTGACACGTACATTGTAATACCAATAACAACAGCATGTGCATACAAAATGTCGAAAAAATTAAGTAAACTGTTTTTGATGCAATAAATAAAATAAACTGCTTAGTTCATATATTTTTTCATTTTTTATCGTTTATAAAAAGACTAAAAAATATGGATACATTATTAATTTTTATTTATCATTTTCATAATAACCTTAAATTGTGTGCAAAAGTTCAAAGCACTGAAATTCATAGTTTCTAAGTTACATTGTAAATTTTCTTTCCCTTAAAAACACACCACACATACCTCATGAAAAAAATGAAGAGAGCAGTGAACCAGAAGTAAAGAAGCATACGATTTTGTACATTTTAAATAGTACGTACTTGGCAAAATTTTGAGATCAGGTTGTCAAATTTTTGATAGCCAAATAAATTTTAGTTTGCGTTTTACCAAAACACTAGAGTCACTACAAATAAATCACTAGTTATTTCAGTTCTGCAACTCTTAGATATTTAAGATCTAACTATAGCTATAAAACCGAAGAAGAGATAAATCAAAAGATATGGTAAACTAAGTTCTATATTACGCCTCAAAAACATAACAATCTGTAGGTTTAGTTAAAAATAATTTTAATGTATGCTACTAAAAAAAATCTAGTTGTTGACTTTTTTTCTATTTCTAATATTAATTAATAAGATGTTGCCGTACTCACCTATACATTTATTACCTTTAGCTACTTACCTGCACCAACTACAACCTGTACTATGAAAAATGTTTTCCAATGGATTATCCTATTAATTAATAAAATTCCGGAATTTATTTCCAAAACAATATAGGGGAGTATATAGTATGTGTACCAAAAAGTTGAACGAATACTCAACGGACATAATGACACTTAGGATAAATTACTCTTGACATGAAACAATAAAACAGTGAAACTAGAAAAATTCTCCAAAATCCTCATACCACATTCGTCGCAACGCTGCTGCTCTTTAGCATGTAAATTACAGTTTTTTTTTTTAATACATGTGTCCTATTATACACTGAAAAAAAATCTAATCTAAGATATAATGCAAAAGGTGAGTCAAAACAACGTCAGCCTTGTGGATAACATGTTCTTCGACATAACGTACCTTCACCGGTTTATTAAAAATCGAACCAGACGGTTTCTATCAAATGCAAATCTCATTACCAAACTTCGGAACAAAACACTCGATACAAAGTAAAAAGAATAACACTAGGGGGAAGTTATAACTTATGGAGTCAAAGAAACACGGCGACACCGCGAAACGTCTCCCGACTTTTATCTTTTCTCACAAATTTTTTGCCTTTAATTATTCTTTCAGATGCATTCGAGAACCAGATAATAAGAATTCTGAACAAAGTCCACGCCAGCATAGACAGAAACGAGCAGCGGCTGAGCGAACAGGACAGAAGAGAGCTCACCGAATTGGAGTGGAAGCAAGCGTCCATTGTATTGGACCGGCTCCTGCTGGCCGTATTTTTGCTCATCACCATCATCAGCACCACGACGATATTATGCAGGAGTCCTGCCAATGATACGGCCTCTTAGTGCATTTCGAGCGAGTTCCGAACGGACAAACATCGATCATCGTCGAAGGTCTGAGGTTCGATAGCGCGAGGGCATCTTTGAATTTTTCTTCCATTTTAGCCGAATAATGTTCTGTGTTCAGATGCGAGAGGGTGGGCGAAACCAACGAAAAGGGTTATCAATTTACGTAACAATACATTATTGGTTGTATCAATGTGATAATTTTAATGATAAGACATAGTTGTGTATCCGTACAATAATTCGTAGGTGTACATAAGTTTAGTCAGTAAACGGACAGAAATATAAAAGGGTCACGCCAGCTGCTTCTCAATGGCTCAGAATTGTAAGGAGTGGACAAAAATCAAATTATAGAAAATGTTTTTAATTTTTCAAAAAATAGAAAAATAACAGACTAATCAAAATTTCAGAAAAATGTTATTCTTTCGCAAGCATAATGGTGATTATGATAATGGTAAAATAAACGAAATTGAATAAATAAGTTCACATATTTACTTCAATCTATGTACAGGTAAAAACAGCGGTTAAGTCCAGAAAACAGTTGTTTTAATCCGATTCAAGACAGTTCCCTCTGAAATATTTACGCTCATGACCACTCCCTTAAGCACCGACGTAAACACTACAGCCTAGAGACCTAACATAACAGTGGGAAAGAAACACACTAAGAAATTCAATCTCATTTGTGTTGCAGTTTATGACACAGTTAATTTTACTTTGATCTAGGGAATTGAAAACAACAATTCTACATATTAACAAAATTCTAATTTTACTTTAATTGCCTCAAATGTAAATATAAATTAATCTTTTCATTTAAAGGACTCAGAAATTTCCAGACATGTTAATTAGTACAGCTTAGCTCCAAGCAAACTAGATCAAATGTCACGTAGAGTTAGTTCTGTTATCAAGTAATGTGTGCGTGATTTAATGGTTGATGGTCACACAAGGCTCGCTGTGATGGGACGAAATTAAACAACAACAACAGTAGACAAGTTGTTATGTAATAGCTCCAGGATAACGAATTAACTTTCATTCTATCATAAATAACATTTTATTACAAAATGATATTCTGAATTACTGTCCACCTGTCCATTTTGGCAACAGAAAATAAGGTGGGAGTGAGAGTTCTACCTACTGCAAAAGCAAATTTATCGATACTAACTGAAACAGAAATAAATTAATAAAAATTTACATTTTCGTGTTTATACGGAAATAAAATATTTTATAGCTAAAATGGTCCATCTATTGAATATAGACAAAAATAGTATCGACATTATCAGTAAAAAGAATAACAAAAGCATCAAAAATATACTCAAATGGTCCATGGACTCGTTAAAACATATATACAGGGTTTCTATAAATGAGTATAGGGTCGAAGTAGGTCATGAACAAGTGCCGCCTCTCAGTTTTAGGCCTTACTAAATGCACAAGGACGCACGACAAATGCCACACGCATCTGTAAAACTGGTTGCCTAAATGCTTCATCTTTAAAAAAAATAAAACCAATTCATTACAATAAAAATAAAATAATAATAAAATCTGTTTACATCTCTAATGTGGTATTTTGTATACTTTTAAAGTCACAACTGGAATCTATATAATTTGCAAAAACGATTTTGTTGTGATTTCACTTGAAAAGTTACGTGAAATAACAACAAACTCGTTAATAAAAAATAAAAGTTGAATCGATGGTAAACGAGAACCTTGAAAATTTTCTGGAGTTGGTTTGACTAGACATTTAATACGGTGCCTCGAATATTTCTCAAAACTGAAAATATTTGATTTAAATAAATTTTAGAATGACCTGAAAACGATATTGCTTCACTTAAATAAGTAGCAAGGTCAATCTGACTCAAACAAATGTTGATTAAAAATCTTATTAGACCGCATATAGCTGGTTTCTTGCTTATAAATGTAATACGAGAAGCTTCAAAACATTCAATATTGTTGGGCTTTGCTCCGTATAGATTTTCAGTCCACTTGTGTTTACGCGATTAATTTGCGATATTTAAAAATGGCGTACTAACTGAACGGAACATTATTAAGTTCACAAGTCTAAGTTCGAAAGAAATCATTAAAAAATTCTTAATGTCAATTTGACGGTCACCTGCAAAAATCGACAGAAATATCAATTTAGATAAATAGATTAAAGAAAAAATGAAAACCACTGTTGTCAACATTTTTTAAGTTTTTTTTAATATTATAGAATGAAGAAAACTATGAATAAAGATATTTTCGAAATGATTTTTGAATAATGAAAGTTTCATCGATTTCGTGTACCCAACAGCAAGTAGTGAATTAAAATATAGTCAAATATATAAAACAAAAATAAAACTTTATACTTAACTTAAAATAATTTGAAATATTCTTGGACCCAAATCTAGGACCCATATGCCTTCTATGTGTTCTACATTTGGACCCAATTATTTTTTCTTTGCTCAATAAACAGTGCTTAACGTGTCATGGAGTTAGTGCGTCATTTTTTAATCAGCCTGTATATTTTTTATCGTATTGAACACAAAATAATAAAACATTATTACGTAAGTACTAAGTCATAAAAATTGTTGCTGCATTAGTTTTGAATCACAGTAATCTTCGTTGGCATACTCTAATACTGAGACTTTATTAACTTGACTTCTGACCTAAACTCTATGTGTAGTATGTAGATTATGTACCGTTGAAATCTTCATGCATTATCTGAAATTTTTAAAACAATGTTCAACTGCTTAAATTTAAAATTAAATTAAAATATTCAAAACTGTTTTTATTTAACTAGACCTTAACCCAGTTTTTCAATAACTTAAGACATCGTTCGAAGCTTACCATCATCATTATCGTCAGTCTTATTATTACGAAAATTTTTACTTACACATATTTGGCCACAACTTCGTCTTCTATTCCAAATTTTTTACAAGTGATTTTTGTCCACACATTTCCGACTGCGCACCACTTTAGCATTCCAAAATTAAATGTTCTGAAAACAGTAGGGCTCATTGAAATGCATACTGGAATGACCCTAAGCCAATAAATTGTAGATTTATCCAAAATGAATATTTTACCAAAGTTAGAATTGGTGATAGTAAGACAACAAACCATAAATTCAGCACTTCCCCTCCGAACAATCTAGCTTACATTTAATCTACAAATATTTAACCGACCATCACAAGATAACACTTCTCGGACTGACTGTAATCCATTAATAAATTTCAAAGGGCGTGCTTTTAGCTGTACTAATTTTTTTAGCAACGGACATTCTATAATTAAGTGAGGTTCTTCCTTTTGTCCAATTTCATTAGTACATGAAAAACTTGTTCATTAATAAAATATCATAATGGAATTATTCAACGCTACAAGATCATCCCTCGCGTTGCTAAAAGAATCCAGTATTAGCTTACAACGGGTTAAATTCATTGAAATTATGATACTTTCCAAGATACGCCTTTGTATAACCTGTGTAGGTTGTTACGACCCTCGGCCATTATAAATTCTTGATTTTCGGGTGCATGTCATGGCCTTGAGGTCAAGGATGCAAGGGTCACTCCTCCCTTGACACTTCGGGAACAGATACAAATTATTTCAATAAAGTAACTAAAAGCAAAAAAGTGTTTCCCCGGCGCATCCACCAAATATAATTTAACTAAATCCGAAGAAAATGTATTGCGCTGCTAAGTACTTTAACGATTGCTGCAATTAAGTTATTTCAGATGTAAAATTAAATTAGCATAATATTATAGACTGAAGTCGTTGTATCTTGAACATTAACAACGAGCCAATGAACACGAATGCATACTGCAGATTAATGGGGTTATTAAAATTTTACATTTACTACAAGCATGAAATTCGAAATACCTGCTGATAAAATAAACTTGACAAAATGACTGTACATTAAAACGCCTAACACATACTGGTTTTGAACGAGCATAAAAAATGCAGAAACATGTTACTATGAAAGTAAGCCACCCTGAAATTGCACGATATTATTTTCACGAAGCTCTTATTTATTTATTTATCCATTTATTAAATAAACATACATTATAGTCAATCGCTATAAATTCTACAAATAGTAACGAAGAACATCGTTTACATTTTATGCTGTATAAGTAAAATGTAAAAACAATGTGTAAGACATAAGATGTAGAACAATAAAAAAAGCGTAAGAAATTCTAGGCATTTTCGATGTCGATGTGCAAAACAACTTTCGTAATTTTTTTAAATGGAATTACTGTAGTATGAAATTTACAACATAATTGCATACCATCATTTTCATGTAGACTCGAATTGAATTGAGGAATATTTTTCAACAATAGCTAAAGACGGATTGGTTTTTCGTTCAACAACAAACCCGTCGTTCACATGAAAGCAGATTTGTCCACAGTGTTGAACTTGTCAAACTTACTCAAATTATGTTACTTTATTGAGGAAACCATATTACTCCCAAAAAAACTCATTTAAAAAAGTTATTCTCATTTCCGGTGAAAGTGGAAGTGCTACAATAATTTTATAAAGCTGTTAAATAACATTTAGCATGTGGGGTGCATATGTATATTACATATATGTACGGAGTAATGTAGGTTAAAAATCAAAAAGATTAAAATTAGAAAACAAAACTCAACTTCTGCATGTGATACCATTTCAACATAACAAGAAGATCATAAAAATTACTCTTTAGCAATTGTTAGATTATTATTAGTCCAAAATCAAATAAAAATTGAAAAACTAAAATTTTAAACTCAATACTCCGTCATTCAACACATGGTCATCGGAACAGCTTTAATTTTTTTGCCGTCATGTTTACGTTTATTTGTGTTTTTAAACACAACTATTAAAGTCCATATTAGCACTATGTCCGTAGAACATTTGATTTAAATAAATACGGTGCTGGTGAAATTACTAAGACACGTGATAAAAAATGTTTTATTTTAGATTCATACAATTATTATTATTAGAGTATATTTTCATTTTTTTAACTCAGGGTTTCCAAAGTTGAAGTGACTTTCCCGCTTTTAAAAATAAAAAAAAGAAGAGTTTCTATATTTCTTTTATTTTTTCTTCTTGTTTCATTTTGGCACTTTATTCTTCGATATTGATTTATTTTTATTTATATATTTTTTTAAAACATTTACTACCGATGCCTTTACAATAATCACTAAGAGTACGCCACAAACAAAAATAATTACAAAATATTTCTAAAAACTAGCTGATGTACTTATTTCTTATTTCACAATTACTGACACGAAATATTTCAAAATTCATGATAATTTCATATTTGGCTTAAAATTTTCGACAACAAACATTGAGAGGTCCATGTTATTGGTATTCTGTGTAGTTTGCATTACTTTTCTTGAAGAAAATCAGAAAATTAAATTTAAAAAATTGATCGGAGCACCTCAATTTACACCGAAAACCAGAACAACTCACCGTTTTACGTGGAACTACGTTTCTAGTTTCTTTTGGAAATACCATTGAGTAAACTGAAACTGAGAA